TCTTATTCACCGATCGTCAGGAAATTTTGCATGTCAATCTTTAATATTAGCCCACGAACATATAGATACATTAGAGAAAAGTTCCAAAAGCATTTGCCGCATCCACAAACGATCCGCCAATGGTACAGGAATAGTGATCTGGATGCTAGATCTGGGATTGGGAAGCATTCCATAGGAGCACTGAGAAAGAAAGCCATGGAAATGAAGGAGAATGGTCAACAATTGGTGGTTTCGCTTTCTTTCGACGAAATGCATATTCAAAGATTCCTTATGTGGTGCCGGGCTACAAACAAGTTTATCGGATTGATTGATTTGGGAACGCCAAAAATGAAAGAAGAATTTGATTTAGCCACGAATGTTATTGTATTCATGGCTTGCGGCGTGAATGTTGAATTTGAGCAACCGTTGGCGTACGCCAAAACGGCTTGCAACTATTACCGAAAGACACGATCGACTAAAGAGAGTGGAAGACAAACGACTGTTTGCACTGGTTCTTTTTGCAATTGTTTTGCTGTGGAAATTGGATAGCTATCTTTGAATTCGGTAAGTGCATTCATCATGTGCAAAAAAACACAATTTTATGCAATACATTTTATTGATTTGCTTGTATTTGCATATTTTGGACTAGTTTGATTAGTTTGAAGAAGATATGTTTTGAGTAGACCTGCACGAATGTGAATGATTGATTGTTTTGTTTTGATTCATAGTTTTTTGCCGTGAGATTTTACTAATTGCAAATGGCAAAGGCTAAAATTGCGAAGCGTTCCAAGCTTATTCTGAAATCAGACAAAACATCGAAGCTGAAAAGTTTTTCCATTATACTTGAACGACTGGACCCAGCCAAAATAAAGCAATATGTGAGAGGAAACGATGACATCACACACAATCTTGACATTCATATTCATCGAAATGAAATGCGAATTCACAATGTTCGTTCTACGGCCATAGATAACAGTTTCAATGTACATTTGAAATTGTCTTCAGAAGGATTGGTTGTCGTTCAGGATATATCAATCAATGATATCGAAGACCGAAATCCACTTGAAGACAAGCCGACTCGTAATTTGAGACCCAAATCAAATAAGGCCAACATTATTGATGATAATAGTATTTCGAAAAAAAAAACATGTTCAAAGCTAGTTAGGTCGCAATCTAAAACTATTTACAAAATGACAGAAGATGCATGGCGTTTATGTAAAAATAATCATAAACGAAATGGGTCTAAAATTTGTGTAAATGATATTGTAATGGCCAAATTAAAAGGATATCCGGCCTGGCCAGCCGTCGTCATAGAATTGATGAATAGTAGAGTAAAAGTAGAGTTTTTTGGAGCCGAACCGCACGAAAAAGTCGGCTTTGTGAGTTTAAATGAAATTACACGATTTAGTGAGTCTGAAGAAGTTATACGGCTCCTTTTAGGTCGCGAGTCGCGCGACACTCCTAAATTTAGAAAATCTGTTGAAGAAGCTGAATTGGTTTGTGGCATGCCACGATTTTTGAGCATAGTCTCGTAATCGATTCAGCTTTCTTAACTGATTCTTCAGTTGAAATAAAAATGTTAAAATTTCCAAATTCGGATTTAATGATGCAGATATCTGCTTCGAAACAAGATTTACTAAATTGTATTGAATAAAATTGTGTGAATTTCTATAGAAAACCATTAGTATAATTTTTCAAGTGATTTTGTTCTTTAGTTTTCCAGCGGTTTATGAATCGACAAAATGGTATCAAATGTTCGAGAACGCGCAAAGGAGCGCATGAAGATTTCGCGAAGAATTAATTCAATGATGAAAAGAGATTCACAATCGAATTTAATGACTAAAAAGCTAAGCAAAAAGCTATTCGCAGCAAATATAGAAAAACAACAATTACATAAAAATAATATAAGATCATGGGCGATTGAATACAATATTCAAAACAGGGCATTATCGGCACTTCTGAAAATTTTGATTACATTCGGTTCAAGAAACCTGCCAAGTGACAGCAGGTCTCTCCTTAGAACTCCACGCTCTATTCAAATTGAAAATACAGCTGGCGGACAATACTGGTACAACGGAATCGGAAATTGTTTGAGAAACGTTTTTGGAAAATTGAATTCGAATATAACTTTAGAATTGAATTTCAACGTCGATGGCCTACCGTTGTTTAAAAGTTCTCCAGTTACATTCTGGCCGATTTTGGCAAATATACATGGTTTGTTTAACCACTGAATTTTTTACTTGAATTGAAAAACGTTTTTTCAAAATTATTTTGACCACTTCGATCGGAAATGTTCGAGTCAAACCCACAACAATGTAACATTAACGTATTATTTCAAATATTCTCGTTTAAAAAATTTGAAGGAATGTCCGATGTCAAGCCTATGGTAATAGGTATCTGGAGTGGAATTGGGAAACCAAAGGATTTAACAGATTTCCTACAGCCTCTTGTGAGCGACATCGACACTGTAATTAGAAATGGTGTTATGATCAATGAGTATAGAATTGATATAGTCATTAGATGCTTCCTGTGCGACTCGCCAGCACGATCATTTATAAAAGGTTTTATTACTCTTTTAATTAATTACTCTTATGCAAACCTTTTGAGTTTTATATAAGATACTTAAAGTAACATTTCACTTGGGCAGGTATAGCATATTTCAACAGCAAATACGGATGTCAAAAATGTTATTGCATTGGCGTGTTTGATAAGAATGCACGGCGTATGCATTTTGCGGAATTCAACAAACCGAAACGCACGAATAATCAGTTCCTCAACAGATTCCAAAAAGAACACCACCGAGAAGAATCAATTCTCCAAGATTTGAAGAATCTGAATGGAGAACCACTGATTGATATGATCAAACAATTCCCGACGTCGGATCCACTTCATTTATTAGAAGAAGGCGTAATGAAAAAAGTGTTGAATATTTGGATGCATGGGAAAGATTCATATAAGAAGAAGTGGTCAAAAGAGATACAAGAAATCCTAAGTGCGCAGATTTCAATTTATAATAAAGAGCTTCCAAGTGATATAAACCGCAATGTTCGAACTTTGCAGTTCATAAAATACTGGAAGGCTACAGAATTTCGTACTGTGCTATTATATTATGGAATGGTCGCCTTTAAAGATTACTTAGGGGAGCAGGAATATATTCATTTTTTGAACTTGTGTCTCGCTGTCAGAATATATTCTTGTCGCAGTTATGTAAACAAATATAAAACAATTGCTCGTAAACTCTGTTTGGTATATTGTGAAAAATTTGGACAAATTTATGGAATCAATAATATTGTAAGCAATATCCATAATGTTATTCACATATGTGATGATGTAGACCAATTTGGTCCTTTAACAGAAATAAGTACATATCCATTTGAAAATTTCTTACGAGAAATGAACCCGTGAGCATAAAAACAACGTATTGACTCTTCGCCGATGAA